GTGTAGAGCAGTGTTCGTTTCTTCACGTGCTTTTCAAGCTCTCGGATCACGAACAAACCCACCCCCCACCCTATACTTTGTCGTCCGCCAGTCCGTGCTCGTCGTGCGCGAAGTTGTCGGGTCGCCTGTTTCGCCCCATGGTTTTCGTGATTCAGGGTGTGTGTTCTTATCGTCGTGCAGACGGTTGCCTGGCCTTCAGCTGGGTGACGCCACTTCCTACATTTCCTGTGGTTCGTACAATTGTGCGAACTTTGAATATTTGAAAAACCTTGTCTTGTTTTTCTTTGTGTACACCTTCAATCCGTCGGTCATGAATGGTTTGGTGTGGTGGGATGACTTGCACACCTTCGCTCCAATGCGTATATGCGTTCATCGGGAGACAATAACGAGAAAGAAAGTGAATGGCCTTTTCTGTTTTTATTATCGAAAAATGTTATTTGTTGAATGGCAACCTCATTTCACACTTGTTGCCTCCTCTTTCGGTGTGCTTACAGGCAAAACTTCTGAATTATTTCGCTCATCTACAGCGTGACGTTCATATACAAAATGTTAGCATGCATTCCCATGACATGAAGTTCAACTTTTGAATCCCACATGCGGTGTTCGTTTCATCGACACGTCGATGTCAACAACAAAAAAGAAGACAGAAGGATACTCAATGAGACGCACCACAATTGTGTCCCACAACAGAGATGATAGCGTTGCTTAATGTGGCTGTGCAATGACAATGTTTGCAAACTCCTCGCATAACAACCTCAAGAAATCATCCCCTCGCTGCAAAATAAGAAAACCTTGAGACACTCGCATGCCTGCAGGTGAACAATTTCCCCCCCTTCGCACTATGGACGACATCTACGCATAATCGTGCTACCTCGCCAAAGATAGGGAAAATAACGAACAAAAAAAACCGAAAAAAAAAACGACTAACCAAACTCACAATGACACAAATCGGGCCGCCCTGTGGAGCATATTCACAATGGTGAACACTGCCGCACTCGCGCGAAAGAGGAACATGGAACAACCAGGTCGGCCATAGTTTCGCCCAATCCGCGTAATCATCGTTGTCATCATCACGACACTTCTCACCATGATGGTCGTCATCATCGTCATCATCATTATCATCCTCGTCATCATCATCATCATCATCATCACCGTCGTCATCATCGTCATCATCATCGTTGTCATCATCATCATCATCATCATCATCATCGTCGTCGTTGTCATCATCATCACGAGCTGCCCAGGTTCGGCATCGTCGACCTTCCCACCTCAAAAGAAGCATCTTCGTCATTGCGACGTCATCGGGACGATTGTGCGCGCACATCGCCTACTCCTCCCCACCCCCCCCCAACGCGTCAGCCCTCCTCGTCGTCATCATCTTCGTCGCCATCGTCGCCTTCCCATGTCGGGGGGCCCGTGCCTAACCAATCAAGCCCTCTCGCCTCGTCAGGGCCTGTCAAGCTCACATCATGGCCGAATTTCACGCCGCAAGAAGCCCACTCCGGGATGAAATTCGGTGAGCGACCCAAGGTCACCTGCGCCTTCCCCAGTCGGTCGGTTACGGCGTTCGCCGCCGCCAAGATGTGATGTCGATGATCGAAGGCCCGGTGCATGGACGCAAGTAAGAAGGGCTTCGGGACGAGGTTGCTGAAGTAAAATGCTTCATAGTGGGACCTTTGGTCATCTCCCGACATTCTCATTATCCACATCGATGCCGCCAAGAGGATCTTGAAGCTTTCAGCCACTCGCCACAGACGTTCGTGAGTGATGCATCCACCGTCGATTGACTGGCCCGTTTCAACCGTCGTGCTGAAGGCGGCGATCAGTCGCATGACAGTCGCCTCCTGGTAAGCTGCCATGTCCTCGTCCTTTGGCCTGTCTTCAATGTGCGCACCTGCGTACCATAGAGGCAGGTCCATCCCAAGCTCCAGTGTGTGCGCACAAACTGCAGGGGTGACGACGTTGCTCCACTCCTCCCCATGCCACATTGCGCGTGCTAAGTCGGTGGCCACTGATTCCAGGACGTACTGGAAGGCGAGAGTGTATCCCCTGTCTCTTATACACATCTAGATGTGTATAAGAG